ATTAGCTGTAACCGTAATTCCATCCTCTTGTTTACATTGCGTTTGGCGAATAGTATGGGTTACCAGATCATATCATTTATCGCCGCTCTTGGTGATATTTTTTTTATTTAAAATTCCGGGTGGGCTATACTAAAGCTGTGTCCAATTATGATCTAAAAAGTATCAAAATTTACAAAAAAAAGCTTAATATTTATTTGTTTACTTTATTAAACATTTCTTTCAATGTAAGTTGTTTCAGTTGCTTCGTTTTTTATGTGATAATACATTCTCTTTAATTCTATAAACAGACATAATTTCTTGTTCAGTTATAAAGTTCCGCTGTTCAAGTCCTATAATTGCTATGTCCCGACTAATTTGTCAATAGAAATTTTTTCGTTTTCAATAACCTCTGTCACTTTCTTCGCTATCGGAAGTGAATTATAATGACGAGGCATTTGATTTAAATCATATCAAAGACGGAGTACATCGAGATGAAATACTACATTGAGTAAGCAATTATAAGCCAAATAAAATAAAAACATCTGCCCTTAAGATAAGGATAGTGCTGACAGATCAACTTCCAATTCATTGCATGCTGCGGTGGCGTTAAAGATAAACAAAGTTTAGATAAACAAATGTTAAAGTTTAGATAAACAAAGAATATGCCTTTATCCATTTTTTGCAGCAGTTCCACTTTTTGTTTAATGGACTCCGAAAGATACTTCGCTTTGTATATCCTTTACATATTAGTAAATATATATCGGAAATTCTATTTGACATAATCGAAAGCTCAAGCTTACTTTTATAAAATTGCTAACAGTCTGCAAAAAATAATAATCTGGATCCAATTCAAAGATTAAGGAACAACGCAATCTGCAACATTAACTGAAATAGATAATTAGATAATTCTAGCTTAGCTTATCCTGTCCATTATACATTAAACGCGCATTCGTAAACGTATTTTGCGCACGCACATGCGCAGAAAGTTTGTAGCTTTGAGGTCCGGATTATGGGTGTCCGAATTAACGACTTTTGACTGTATCTTACTTTGCAGCTACTGCGCAAGTATTAGAACCTGTTTTCGAATTCAATGAATTTTAGATCATTCAATATTTGATATGTTAAATAGGAGCTATTAGCGCTATTTATCTTTTTTAATGCATTACCCCCTATATTATCTTTGCTTCTTATTTTTAAGTTTAAAAGTTTTTCTGCAAAAACTTTACTGTACTGAAGGTTAGCAGCCTCCTTACTTTTAAATCTTGCTCGTATCTCTCAAACTTGTAATCATTAAATGTCATTTCACTAGATGACAAACATGCAAATTTAATGCCAATCCTACTACAGACAACACCAAACAACAGTTTCTATGAAAAACATTTAACTGTATTTACATGACTAACTGCAGCACTTGAAATATTAAATTATAGGACAATCTTAACTTTCGAATCAATAACCATAGAGCTCACATTAAGAAATTCAATGCACAGAAAAAAAAACTACCACTAAAATAAGTACCCCTTCCCAGATTAATACAGCAGAATTAGAGCACTTTAAACACTTCAACTCTATTCAACTTCTGATATTAGACATAATACTCAATCACAAAGAACAAACTTTTTAGGAATCACTCTTTATTCTAAAACAAGATTCACTTTGTCCTTATGGTCTTAACACTTATATTCATAGTCACAAAGATAATTCTAATAAATCCATTTTCAGCCAATTTAAACTTTACAGCAACAAAACGCAAAGAGGCAAAAGAGGAAGCAAGATAAATAATACGAGATTTTTACCAACTTTGGATACAATTACATTGAAAAAACAATTAAAATGCTTTTTTTGATTCTGAAAACTTCCCCAAGCAACTCCTCATCTGGTTACACTCTTTTACTAATAAATTTATTTTAAAAGTAAAAAATTCATTATCGAAAACTACGACGAAATACAAATTGTAAAAGACATGGTTCATTTTTGTAAATTCAGACTTTCTAAATGTCTAGCTCTACGCAAAATTTATTTTAAAGTCAATTTTCTGCATCTGCAGTTTGACAATATTCGATTCTCTAGAATCTTCAACAAATGTAAAATTTATTTTCCAGCTGTAGACACCATACTAATAGTTGCATTTAAATATCAAAAGATGTCAAGCAGCTTCCTTACTAACCACCATGAAATAGATGAGTCAGCAGAATGATACTGCAAATTACCAATTTACAGTACTTACATAGATACTCATCACCAGCACACAATTGCTGGCAACCTGGATATCATACAAAATGATCAACTAAAAACACTAATGAGTTATGGAGCAAAATATTGACCAGTGAGACACAAAAACAAAAATTACTGTTACGAGACTTTCGAAAACAGCATCAATGAATTTATAGTGAAAGCAAGCTATCAACTGAATTTACCTATAGATACCTTTTTAAAATGGAAAGATGAAATACTTCTACCTCACTTAATCACCTCAAGTTTCAAAGTACATTAAATTGGTCACAACTACCATCTGATATGTAAAAAAAAAAAAAAAAAAAAAAAAAAAAACTTTTTTTCTATTGCCAAAATAGATAAAGCAAATAATACCTTTAGCATTCTATGAAAACAATTTTATGCAGCAATTATTAATACAGAACTTTTCAACACAACTACTTATTAGCAAACAATAGAGAAACTTCTATAATTAACAGAATTAAAACTTTTCATAAAAAACTAAATGTCTCTTTAAATCCAAAATACAGCATATTTACTAACCTATATGTGCTTCCCAAATTCCATAAAACACCATTAAAATTCAGGTTCATAGCAAATGGAACTAATAACTACAAAAAAAATGTAGACTATTATTTTGCAATTCAGCTTAAAAAATTTGTAAAATTATTTTCAATGTTGTAACACTAATCATAACTACTGCTGGATCATCCATAATAACACTCCTGTCATTAATCAATTGACATACAAAACATTAACTACTATGACTTTGAAAACCTATATACCTCACTTCCTTTAGAAGAAATCTATACTAGCCTTCTAGATTTGTTAAACTCTTCTCTGTTATGCTCACAATTATGAACTTTAGTAAATGGAAAACCTACCTAAAATGCACCATTTTTCATAACTACATTAAATTTCAAAATCAACTTTTTAAGCAAGTCAGAGGACTTCCAATGGGAGCAGATTCTAGTTCTTCCATCTGTATTCTCTTTTTATTTATCAAAGAATTTACATCAGCAAGAATTAAATTACTACAAGCGCACTTACAGATCTATAGATGATCTTATTACATTTAATAATTTTAATAAGACTGAATACTAAGAGATTTATCCAGAATGCCTTACATTTAATAAAACTAATCATTTGCAAAATAACATCAATAATCTTGATCTTCAAATACTTAACTACAAAAAAATTTTACTGTTTGACAAGACACGAAACTTCAATTTCAATACTAACAAATTAATAAATTGGACTTCCAACATCTCCAAAAAAGTTATTAGTAATACTATCTTAAATCAAATACAACATATTAAAAATATTTGCATACACACGATAGATCTATAAAGCGAAATTATGCTCCTTATTAAAATTCTCAAAAATAACCTAATACCTAATCAATTTTTTAACCATTGTCTTAAAAGGGCAGGCATTAAATACTCACTCTAAATCATTTAACTGATAGGGATATGATCATTTGTTCCTAAACCTGAGAAGGCGGTATAAGTTGGATGACTATCAGGTGGAGGATTTGTACATAGTGTAATTACAAAATTGTATATAATGTAAGAAATCATTGTTTTCAGAGTTTTCTTATGCTGTTACTATAAAATTGAGCCTATTTCATACTCTATAGTCTGTCAAATAGCTCATTGACAGTGAAAATTACTTTTTTCTTTCTTCTTTCCTCCCTTGTTCCGACACAACAATTAGCCAGAAATTAATTATTTTCCGTTAACTAGTTAGTATATTCAAAATTTTAACAGACGTTTCCACTCCCATAAAAACTCCGCAACAACCCCCCCTCAAACATTCTTAGTCCCTCCCACGTACAAAAAATAGCTTCTCAAAGGTTCACCGCCTGCAATAATTAAATCGGACACACACCCCTTCTGAGTAAGACACAGAAGAGAACACTTTGCTGACAACCCACTAGAAAGAACGCAAGTTAATTAATGCATTTTCTGGCTTTTTTATATTTCATGTACATTTCACATTTTACATTTAATTATTTCTTATTATATATATTTCAATTTTTCAACTTCTATTTAATTTGTTTTTACAAAGATATCATAGTTATCTTTCTTATGTTTCTCATGTTTATTTCTATTACTTTGAGTTCTATTTCATAATTCCAGTTAAGATTACTACTGTTTATTATAAAAAATAGTCTTATATTAACATGCATAAAAGCGAAGATGTCTGGGGACATTTACTCAAGTATCTTTTAAATTTTACTACATAAATTGGCTTTTCACTCAAAATTTCCAAAGAATCTTGTATTAGCGAAAATGCTTCATTCAGAATGAGTTCTTTGATACTTTACTTTAGCTATAAATCCCATCACTTCATGGAACTACAATTTTGGCTTAACTCAATTTGCCAGTTTGGCATCATCATTCTTACTTGAGTAAAGGATGAAACACCTTCGCATTTGTTAATTATTGTCGTTCATTGAACGGGAGTTGGTTTGCTCCCCTTGAAAAGACAACTAGTTTCCAATCAATAGCGATAATTACTTGTTTTTTTTAATTCTTTTTCAGTTTGAAATTTTGTTATTCATGATTTAAATTCAAGTCCCCTTAAAAAGGTTTTCATGATTTACATTCAAGTTCCTTTAAAAAACAATTTTCGGATTTTAACTTCCTACTTATGGGTTCCCTCATTTTGATATATTCTACTAAATTTATATTAGGAGATAATATAATCAATATTGCTTTAGTAAATAAGTTTTGATATTTTTAATCATATAAAATATTCTATTTTCAATCATATGCCAATTTGAAAATAAAATGCTTACATACCTGATTTATAACTATACCAGAATGACTTTTGCATTGATAATAGCCAATAGGCTCATTCTTATCTTCATCTTGATTCAAAGAATCAAGGCATAAGCCTGTTATAGGATTTTTTAACTGTAAAATACCAGATTATGAAACAGACATACAAACAAAAAAATAAATACAATGATCAGTCAAAACTTTATGATCCCTTTCCTAATATGTATTGCTTTATCTTTGGTATGCAAAACACTGCAACCTGTCACGGGATGGTTTTTTAAAGTCCTTCGTAAGAGTAATATAGAGAATAATACCAGATTTCTATGGAGAGCTTTAGCAGTGGATTACAAAATGAGCCTAAAGACCTTTATAAAACATATCAAAAATTAGCCAGGAACATATCCAAAATAGCCAGGATGTTAACTAAAATTCACCAATGTAATTTCAGTCTTAAGACAAGAGGCTTATGACATAAAAGAGTGTAACTAGTAAGCAATGATGTCCACATAATACTCAGCTGTTATAGTACGTTCAACTACAACTTACCAGTCCTAGGAAGAGCTATGACAATATCCCCATGAGCATAATACTTCTACATAGTCCAAACTTAATATTCATAAGCCTATTGTAATAATAAGTGTCAATGACGTTTGGTTAACAGAGGGATACAAGAAAAGTATTTGTTGCAGAATCCCACATCCAACAAAGTATGATGAACTGTGATTTCATATATATTTTCCCTTGAAGAAACATAGTATTTAACAGCCAGTTGAGCCAATAGCATTGCTTCCAGCTTCAAGTCAAGTCAGCTTAACCAAGTGAGGCAGCCTGTGTTGTTTGCTTTCATCAATCAGGCATAGGCATCCAATGCTGTTGTTGTGGTATACAGGTTTGTAGATTTGGATTAAATGATGATAATACTTGACGAAGAATAAAAACATAATTTATTCACTAGTAAGCACTATTACACAGGATAGGTTCCAAAGACATGTTTACACTCATAGAAAAACTATGCAGCACAACACAGCCTTCAGGCTATAATGGTGAAGACAGTTTCACAATAAAGCACTGAAGTACTGCTCCCGACTCAGTCAATCATTTTCAAGTTAATCTCTGAACTCCAGAAACTACTTTTTTTCCAGGATAAGCAGGGTGTATACATAGCTTAAACTTATCCAGAGAATATTCCCATGAAAATCACTAAAAATGTGCTGTAGAATGTTCTTGCTCCGTCTATGACATATAGCTAATTTTGTTGCCAAATGGGCTATTTTGTGCCAAATCTGGCAACCCGAACCCAGCTCTTGACTCATGCTGCTCAGCTGGCAGATTTCTTTCTCTGCTCCACTGGAGGAGATTCATTTTTGACCCGCTTTCCGGGGAAGCTATCTCACCGTGCAGCTGTTGGGCATTTCACAACACTATGATGTTTTCTATGGCTTTTACCACCCTTTTTCCATTTTTCATAAGCACTAATAACAACAATTTGAAAAACCTTATGCGTAATGTTGCTTCAGAGATCCTCATTTCTAACTTTTGGGCCATACAATCTGGCCTTTAAAATAACCTATAGCAATTTTTCCATTACATGAACACGTATTTGAGACAAAATGATGCCTCAGTAGCTTCAACAGCTGTTAAATAATATTCCCATCTTGTTATATACAATCTACGTAATCCCAGTACGTGCATTCTAACAATGTAGAGGTGATCATAATAATTTGCCTGATCAGTGTAAATAAAGTGAAACATTTTCAAAAGTAAAACAAAAATGTTAACAATAAAACTATTAAAAAATTTACAACAACAGTTCACAAATGCTCATTCCAAAATTCCATATTAATTGAAAGTAACCATTAAATTAAAATGTTACTATAAAAAGAATAACCATTAAATTAAAATGTTACTATAAAAAGAATACAAAGTCAGGATTTGTTAAATAAAGTGAAGGTTTGAAATCCTGCTTTACTTAACAATAAATCTGAGTACTTAACAATAAATCTGAGTACTTAACAATCTGAATCATTTTATTAAACATTATAAAAATTCATTTAATATTTTAAATTGTTTTTAATAACAGTTATTAATAAAACATGTAAAAGAAAAAATTATGCATGCTTAAAATGCTTTAGTAAATTGAACACAAGGGCATAATCCTAAATACCACAGCAGATATGCATACATTTTTTATTGGCTCCCCAGTTAAAAAATTTAATATATATATATATATTATTAGCAGATCAGAATGCAATCTAATAGTTAATTATATAGCAATATTTTAAAAACAATTTTTTTCTATGCTAATAATAAGCTACTGCCATTTGTAAATCATGATGACAGTATATGATATCACAAAACTTCTCTCAATGCTGTTCTACATGGTAAATTCTCCCAACAAAACTTTAAATCCATTTACTAATTTTCAATATGATTAATACTTAAGACAATGCAGGCTATTTGTGTCTTCAGATTTCCTATACGCAAACTGTGTTAAAAATGTGCAATAAAAACTGACTTATGAAATGAAGAAGCATCAACACTTTCATATCAAACTATCTAGTTTTATCTCTTATACAGCAAAGTGGTTAAAACTACTGAATATGCTGGTAGGTCGATCATGGATTCAAACTCAAAAGAATGAGTTGGCTGTGTGGGTACTTTTCATGGTTTTTGCCATTAGTAATGTGAATACCAGCCAGTGTCCTTTAAGAAGTTCACCACATAAGCATACTTTAAAGTAGATAGCCCTGATGTACTTTGCTGCATCCAAATAACCTAACTTAATTTCTGGAGCAGAAAGGAATATTTTATATAAAAATGACCTATATACTTATTTGGCTTAATTTAAATGCCATAAATAATTTCTAGATGAGTAACTGTGTTGTCTAAATACAGGACCAGAATATTATCATATGTGAATGTCTAATCGTAATCAACTTATAATATTGGCCAGTTCAGAAATGTATGTAATTATTTCATTAGGAATAGAACAGCATTTTCACTGTTAAAAACTATATTTTTTATTCATTTTTAATTTAGATGTGTATATATGCAAGGTCTTCTGTGAAGTTTTTTTTCATTTAGATGGCATTTTCTTGCCATTTTGCTTGAAATCTAATCTTTTTTCTTGTAACTTTTGATAAGCAATCTGCGTAGACACATCAACACAGTACTTTCTCCCTTTTCAAGCTTCCCAAATCCAGTGCTATTTTAAAATCACAGTATTGATTCAGCTAAGGCAAGAGGTTTTGAATCAAACAAGCTAAAGACATGTACTCACAGGAGCTTCAAATAAGGTATAAAGGAGCATTTACAAATTTCGTGGAAAGATCTGACCTTTAAACATTCATCAGTACCAGACACCTTCATACAAGGGTAATTTTGAGGATTATTGTCAGCATGCCCCTTAATTCACTACAGACAACATTCATTATGTAATAATTGATCGACCTACGAAGAATAAAAAACGAGTTCATCTGCGTAGTCTATTACATATGGCTGACAGCAGCAGCAATTTTCAGCAAGACATACAATGGATGGACAAAAATATGGAAACACCTTGTGAAATGCATGTTTGAAAAGAAAGATTGATTTTAATGAAATATGTAGGTGGCGCTGGCATTTTTGACTACTGACGCCACCTATAAAATTTCGTAAATGTGCTAAACAGTTCAGTTGTTGTCGGAGTACTGTTATGTGAGGTTGTCATAGCATTATGTCAGAGTTAACAGACTTCAAACGTGGGCAAATTGTTGGAGCACATATGGTAGGTGCTTCCGTATGCAAGGTAGCCGAGGTGTTTAGTGTTTCAAGAGGTACTGTATCGAAGATTTATTCCGCATATTTGAAAAGCGGAAAAACATCATCTGCTAAATCACAGCGCAGACGAAAGTGTGTGCTGAGTGATCGTGACAGACGATCATTAAGGGCAATTGTGACGAAAAATAAGAAGACCACAGTTGCAAAAGTTACTGCTGAAATGAATGTTGTGTTACCGAACCCTGTGAGTACCAAAACAATTAGAAGGGAGCTTCATAAACAGGGAATTGCTGGCCGTGCTGCAATTGAGAAGCCACTCATCAGTGATGCTAATGCCCGTAACAGGAAAAGGTGGTCTTTAAGTCATAAAGCCTGGACTACAGAGGAGTGGAAGCGAGTAATATGGTCTGACGAGTCTTCTTTCACATTGTTTCCCACTTCTGGCCGAGTTTACGTCTGGAGAATGCCATCTCAAGCCTATAATACAGACTGCTTGTTGCCAAGAGTGAAACATGGTTGGGGCAGCCATATCGTGGTTTTCTGCTAGCCCCATGATAACTGTGTCAGGGCACATGACTGCCAAGACTTATGGGAACATTTTGGCCGATCAAGTTCATCCCATGGTACAAACTTTGTTCCCCGATGGTGATGGTGTCTTCCAAGATGACAAAGCCCTTGTTCACACAGCTCACATTGTCCAGGACTGGTTTTCTGAGCACGAGGATGAGTTGTCCCATCTCCCCTGGCCACCACAGTCACCAGACCTGAATATTATCGAACCTTTGTGGTCTACATTGGAACGGAAAGTGCGTTTTCCTTATCCACCGCCAACATCGTTATCTGAACTTGCCACCGTTTTGCAGGTATAATATTCCCTTGGCAAACATACAGGAACTGTATTTATCCATTCCGAGAAGACTGCAAGCTGTTTTAAGTAAAACTTGAATGAAAGTTGTAGAACTTATTTTCTGAAATGTCTTTCCAAATTTTCAAAAACTGCTCACATTATTCTGACCAGATAACATGCATGATTTTAAAATTTCAAGATTTAAAAATGTCTCAGATATAAAATTTTGAAATTTTCACAGATTACAAAATAAGCACTTCACCCTATTTTTAAAGCAGCGCACACACATACACACCAAAAAAAAAAAAAAAAAAGTTTTTTTTATTATTGTTAAAATAAATAATACAAAAACTATTTATTTTATTATACTTTATTTATTAAATTTATTTATTTACATTTAAAAATATTTATTTCCACAGTTATTTAAAAAATTGTTGCAATCTCAAGGGGCAACAGATTTTCTGGCCATCTCATTGCTTCATTTTTGTGGATATTTTCCTTTCAAAGTATCACGCCATTATGCCACACA